AAACACTTACGTTAAACATATATCTGTTAATGGAATATTTTTGGAATACGTGCATGACTTTAAATCTTTCAATTGTGATGCTTCGTTAGCGGGTTATTTGGCATTTACAATTTAATGAATCGTTAGTCATTAGAAGGAAGAGAAAGCGAGTGATTTAGGTTTAAAAGTTTCATTAAAAGATGAAATGAAATGATTTAAAGGGCAGCGGTCGATATTTGGGACATGTTTCCAAAATAAAGTATGAATTGAAAATAGTGACACAAGGAAAGTTGATCAGTCATAAGAATGAGCCTGGGAGTTCTTGATCAATTCAAGGCAAATTCAGCTCTGCGGAGTTACTCCCCTTTACCAAAATGCCAGCTTCCCCAAGCCAAAGAATGAATTACGATTAATATTGTGTGCATTGTTTAAATAATACAACTTTTGCATTGGCCAATTAAATGTATTGTTTACTTTATCAAATAAGCTATAACTTCACGAAGGTGCGTCCTATAAATGGTACGCTGCTAACGAAACATCACATTAATTATCGCATTGATGTTTTGGTTTATTGAATAAACGTTTCAATGTATGTCACTTAGATTATTGAATGTATACTGGGATCTTGACTTAAGGTATTTCGAATCCCCGGTTGTACGTGATAAGGAGTAGGGTCGCCTGTCCAACCTCGTGGGTTTTCCCATTCCCTCCCACTGCTAAAGACGCCTACGCGCAAGCGAATTATACAAATAAAATTGAACCATGTGTTAGTCCCGAAATGACCTAGTTTGTGTCGAGTGGACGTTAAACCCATCTCTCTCTAGTGCTTTTCGTGCGGATTTATTTCAAATTTGGTGTGAATCATTGGGGTCATGAGAGGACAACCATTATCGATATTCAGTGTTCAGTGGCCTTCCGTTCCAGAGTTATCTCCTTTGTCCACAGACCTTCGATGTAAAGCACTGGGAACATGAGAGGATGAGTCCTATCTTATGCGAAATATGGATGTTTGTTGCATGGCAACCACTTGCTCATAGACGATACGTCTACTGACTAACTTTACTGCGACGGAAAACCTTATGAATGTTAATCGCCAATAAGATTAAATTAAACTATTATTATTATTATTATAATTTCATTTTTAAAGAGCTGCATTATAACATTAGTTATTTCTAAGCGCTGTACAGACATATTTACACAATGGTACACGCATGATTCTATTTATATGAGTTACTAAACAGATGAGTCTCTAGTTAAGATTTAAACTGAGATAGTTGGGTACTCTATCTTATGTTTCTGTCTAGTTCATTCCAAAGTTTGGCACCCCTAATGGAAAATGAAAACTCGCCCACCTGGCACTGAAAGCGTGGAACAGCTATTAGGGTTTATCAGATATTAATGTATTTATTTCTATAAATTCATCGTTTAATGCATTCTAAATTCATTCTTGTATCAGTAGTGGGCAGCGATTAAGAATGAGAAAAATTAATGAAAAATCTGTCGTAATGTTGTTGAAAATGGTATTTCATTTCTAAATTAGTTATATTCTGCAATATATAGCAAACTTAGAACCATTTGAAATTGCAACCAGTAGAGGGTTAATTATAAAAGCAGGTGGTTCCAGTTTATTTCCATCAGTATCCATCATTTAAATTACTGATAAAGAACGGAATCGCCATTATGTAAAACTGTTGTCTATTATTAGAATCTTACGAGCGTTTATTCTCATTTGAGAATTCTACGTCATGAAACCTACATCTGTGTTTCTGTCTGACATATTCATGTCTTGTGAGTGGGTATATTTTTATGAAGGAGGGAATGGTGTTTATAGACCCATGAATTAAAATAAATTTGTTGTCTTGGCGAATTATTTAACGCCTAACATCTGCCCACCGGACATCTGCTCGGTTAGTAGTATGTGAGATATATTGATTTAAGCTAGTAATTATTCCATGTTGCGAAAAGCCTCCGACTTATTGAATGAACACCAGGCGTCTGTTCAGCTTATACTACGTGATTGTTGCTGAGGATTGTGGGTTAGGTTTAGGGTACGGCTTAGGGCTCTGTCTTGATTTAGGGTTATCGCAAGCCCTGTTTACATCTAGTGATCTATGACGAAATCTGCATGTGGCCTTGTGAAATAGACTTAACACTTATCTAGCAAGTTTCCTGGGAAACACGTGTCTGCGATATCACCGGAAGTTAATAATTGGTAATATGTAGAATAATTAGGCTATAAAATGATTAATAATGTCCTCGGGGACGACGTTCTAATAGTTTGTACCACCAAACTGATAAACTGAAATGTTTTCTAAATTATTAATTAGATATAACTTATCCAGACCATAATCAACTGTCGATGGCATCGGATTTCTCCGATATTAAATAGATTAGATCAGTTCAGCCATATTTTGATTTAAGCTAAAAATTGAAGAGCGAGACTTAGCTTTAAACAACCAGTACGGTGGTTGAAAGTATTGCACGTGTCTTGACAAACCTTCAAAGGTTAATATCTTCGCTCGCAATAGAGTAATTTGAATGAGATTTTCAAATTATTCATTTTACATTGGGGGGTGGGGGGTGGATGGCCGAATGGTTAGAAAGTGCGTGCTGTATCATAAAGCCTGTCATTGAGTCAACTGGCGTGGTTTCGAATCCCCGGTTGTACGTGACAAGGGTAGGGTCGCCCGTCCAACCCCGTTGGTTTTCTCCGGGTCCTCCGGTTTCCCCCCACTGCTAAAGACCCCTGCGCGCATGCGAATTATTGAAATAAAATTAAACCATAGGTTTGTCCCCAAATGACCTAGTTTGGGTCGAGTGGACGTTAAACTCCATCTCTCTCTCTCTCTCTCTCTCAATTCGCATTATCTATTTTCGAACTATTATAGCAAGAACGTCCAGCTCTTTATCTAAATCTTACATAATGCATCTTTAAATTAACAGATTTATCTATGGCATGTTGGAATAACATTAATAAAGTCTAATCAGAACAGGGTGAGAACGAATTAAGCCGATAACAATAAACAGGGGACATTTGTAAAAAGTATGATTGTTCATCCATCACAGTCAATTATCGTGATGAATCTTTATGGGCCTGGACAGATGTTACTTTAAAATATCATTTCGCTTTTCTTTTGCTTCTTTTATTTTTACATCCAACCTCGTGGGTTTTCTCTGGGTCCTCCGGTTTCCTGCCACTGCTAACGACCCCTACGCGAATTATTGAAATAAAATTAAACCATATGTTAGTCCCGAAATGACCTAGTTTGTGTCGAATGGACGTTAAATCCCATTTATCTCTCTCTCTCACTCTCTGGGGGGGGGGGGGGGGGCACGCAAGAGAGAGAGGGGTGGGGGGGTAACGTCCACATGGCTCTAATTTATTTCAATAATTCGCGTGGCAGTGGACCCGGAGAAAAACAGGCAACCCTACTCCTTGTCATGTACAACCAGGGAACAGAAACCACAATTTGTCAGGTGACACTATAGCTGGGTACAACCAGTGTACTCACTGCTTACTATCCTTTGCCGAATTTGGAGGGAGGGGGGGGGGTGGATGGCTGAATGGTTAGCACGTGCGCGTTCTATAATAAAGTCTGTCATTGAGTCAACTGGCGTGGTTTCGATTTCCCGGTTGGTTTTCTCCGGGTCCCCCGGTTTCCCCCCACTGCGAATTATGGAAATAAAATTGAACCATATGTTAGTTCCGAAATGACCTAGTTTGTGTCGAGTGGACATTAGACCCCATCTCTCTCTCTTAAATTCATTCATTTAACTTTAGCATCGATCGATCGTTCTTCACTTTTATTTCCGTTTGCAAATAATCATGTCATAATGGTCACTGTTTCTCTCGTATTTATGAAGTCAATCGGAAACATAAGACGATTAAGTTCACGCCAGTCCTTGACTGTAATGAAGGATCAATAATATTACTTAAAATAAATTCCTTTTATACTATGTTCTTGTCATTAGCGGGTAGTTTGCAACATTGTTCCATACACTGGTTTCTACGCACGCGCCTAATCACTTCCAGTACGAATCATGGATCATTTACATGTATTATTCAGTAACAACTAATTACAATGTGGGTGGCTTCACCGGCAAATATTGTAAACGTTATAGCGTAGTATACGAAAGGGCAAATTAAATTATTATCTTTTAAAATCACTAAGCATACCCCGCGCTGTGCACAGCATCCATCTGATATACAAAAAGGACAAATTAAATTATCTTTTAAAATCATCAAGCATACCCCGGGCTGTGCGCAGCACCCGATTAATATACGAAAGGATGAATTAAATTATTATCTTTCAAAATCAGTAAACATACCCGCGCTATGCACAGCACCCGATTTATTTACGAAAGGACAAATTAAATTATTAGCTTTCAAAATCACAAAGCATACCCCGCACTGTGCACAGCATCCGTCTGATATACTAAAGAACAAATTAAATTATTATCATTCCAAATCAGTAATTATACCCCAAACTGTGCACAGCATCCGTCTGAAATGAATTGATACCTTACCAAATCAGATGAGAATTGATATCAAGCAAATCACACGTTTGTGACTGTATATTGTCAGCAATGCGGACTTTCCAAACACACAAGGGGCTCTTGTGGGTTTTCTACCAAAAATCACAACTGTAGCATTTTTTAGAGCAAATCTAATCTAAAATCAGGGGTGTTGGATGGCCGAATGGTCAGCACGCGCGCGCTGTATCATACGGTCTGTCATTGAGTCAACTGGCGGGGTTTCGTTTACCCGGTTGTACGTGACAAGGAGTAGGGTCGCCTGTCCAACGTCGTGGGTTTTCTCCGGGTCCGCCGGTTTCCTCCCACTGCTAAAGACCCGTACGCGCAAGCGAATTATTGAAATATAAAAAAATAAACCATATGTTAGTCCAGAAATGACCTAGTTTGTGTCGAGTGGACGTTAAACGCCCATTTCTCTCTCTCTAATCTAAAATCATAAAAAATGGACGCCGTTCGATAACTCGTACACATAATTGCGAACTCACCTGGTGGACCGGTTATATTATGTTGAGGTAATCCAGTAGCCTCTACAACCATCACAGTTAACCTTTCGCCTCTAGGTTCATAGTTCAAGGTCACGTACAGATGACCGAGATCCTAAAAAATAAAATAGACATATGTGTACTGTAGCTCTATAAATACGTGTGACGCTACGGTGTTGTTACGCCGTGACTATCCTTCGTCACGCCACTAATATGAGATGACTGTGACACTACAGTCAATTAGGGACGGACCGTGACTTCACGTTGTGTATAAAACTTCAATGATCAACTGACTCTGAAACACTTTGTTGGTTTTATATCTTTATGACATTCATAATACAACGGTTATATACATTTATATTTATAAATATAACCTTAGTTCTTCTTTCCAAGTCTACAAGATGATGTCCCACGGCCTGTAAGCCAAGGAGGCTGTGGGTATGATGTCCCGCTAGGAACTCCGAATGATGCCCGAAGAGAAATTTAACCTCGCTCTTTCTTATATAGAAAGTATAGATGGGTCAGCTGTTAGGGCGGGACAATTACCATTTTGGGGTAACTGTTTCGTATGGGCACCGTTTTACGTCAACATTAGTCTATTTTAATTAGACTAATCTGTGCACGTGATCACTGGACGATAGTACCCTACTTTCATCAATTGATGATGACAGGAACTGTCTGTGAGTTAGTCTTGCAAAATTCCTACTTAGCCCATTTCTCGTTGTCACCCATTTGTTTAACTACTTCAATATATTAAACAGAGCGCCTTTTAAGAACTAAAATAACCCCTATAGTATTACACACAGTGATACATCTCCTTCCTTCCCTTCACCGACATTACCCGGTGTAAAATAGTAATCGGAAAATTTTTAGCTCTCCCTATAGCTATAGCTAGATTTAGACTTGGGTAGGATTTATTGGACTAAATCTACTTCTTAAGGCCAGCTCAATTTTTGTCCTGGTCGCTGAGATGTAAATAAGGTTTCGGCTAATCTAATTCACCGCCTACAATATTTACGCCTTCTTAATCCGGCTTTTCTTGTTTTGAATTTTTGTAAAATTGTTTTATCTCAAATTAGTTTCGCCTCATCTGAACTGTGATAATTAAATATTCAATACTCCTCTTTGTTTGGTTTTTATTTTATTTTCTCCTTTTCTCAAACAAAATCCAATTAAACAAAACAAGATTAAACACCATGAATTGTTAACAATGGCTAAACCTATTTGTTAAGGCCAGCTCAATTTTTGTCAAAGTCGCTGAGATGTAAATAAGTTTAGGGCACGTGATTGTTGGGTTAAGGCTTGGATTAGTACTAGCCCTGTTTACATCTCGTGACCTATGACCACAAATTGAGCTGGCCTTATCATTTATTGGCTTCAGTCCGGAAGTTCTATAGGAGTTTAACCCTCATTATGAAGTAATTCGATAGATAGGCTACGTGCTGTTAAACGCAAAGAGGCACGTGACGCTCGAAGATGGATAGGCATGACCAAAAAATCGAGGTAATGAAGAATGATGTTAAATTATATCACATGTCACCATAAAGAACAAACTCACACTTACGGATCTGTGATATATGTGTTGTAAACATGGCGGGCATTGGTTTTTTGATTAACTTTGATTTATTTTTAAACGAAGGAAGAGGACAGCTGGGAACAAGAATAACAAATATAAAGGGAGAGAGAGAGAGAGTGAGAGAGAGAGAGAGATGGGATTTAACGTCCACTCGACACAAACTAGGTCATTCCGGGACTAACATATGATGGTTTACTTTTATTTCAATAATTCGCTTGCTCGAAGGGGTCTTTCGCAATAGTAGGAAACCGGAGGACCCGGAGAAAACCCACGAGGTTGGACAGGCAACCTTACTCCTTGTCACGTACAACCTGGGATTCGAAAACCACGGCAGTTGACTCAATGACAGGCCTTATGATACAGCGCGCACATGCTAACCATACGCGGCCATCCAACCCCCCGACAAATTCAAAGGAGATATCCGTCAACGCAGTAAATTATGGTGGTGACAAATAACACGAATTATTTGTCAATTCAAATCAACATTGATGTTGTTATCTTACCGGGAAAGGGTAGGCTTCTGATATCCAATATTTAAGACAAAATAAACATTTTACCATTGGTACACGAATCGTGTACCATGGTGCGTTTCATCGTCATTTGTAACAAGTGACCAGAAAGAGCAAGGCTAGAAATTTCTATTCGGTTGAGACTCCTGCCGTATTTCGCTGGACATAACTGATTTGAAATTAGAGACAAAACGGAAACAATTGAATATAAATCAGTTTATATACAATCAGATTACATTATTATATGCGTTGCGACCCATTTGGGTCAATTTCTAGGTCCCAAATATTAGCGATTTAGCTCCTTTAAAGCTACATTATGTAAGATTTAGATAAAGAGCTGACAGTTCGTTCGCGCTTTAATAGATAGTTTGAAAATAGATAATGACAAAGGAATATATTGAAAATTTCAGTCACATTACTTTAATCTGATCAAAGTTATGACTCCTTGAAGTTTTAATAAGAACAGCTTAGTCTCGATTTTCACTGCTACCATTGTTACGATCAGTTATCCAATTTAAATTAAATCATTAAACGAAGATCGGGTTTCAGTCCATACCAAATCTCTGCCATCAAATGTTCTAGAGAGTTCATTACGTGCTTGTCATGTTCATAAGTGTCTTATCAACACTTTATATAATATTTGAGGTCAACAAAATACCCGCAATAGACATATTAATTTGCCTATACGTTTTTGTGTTGTTTTTTTTTTTTTAGGACTTCGAATTTTGTCTAATGGTTTGGATTGTTCGTACTTGGTTTTATTTTATTTCTTACATAATGCATATTTTATTGTGTTCTGTCATCCGTAAACTGATATAACCAACAAGTGAAGAAGAGTTAATAAGTACATGGTTTTATTATGCCTTGTTATTTATAAAATAATATGATTATCTTACTAACAGATCTGAGTAGAATTCTTTATTTCTTTGGCTGTTATTATATCCATTAGCACTTTATTGGATACAATAAAAACACTACCAAACATTGTAAAGAGATGTGGCTTGCGGAAAAGAGAGAGATAGGGGGGGGGGGGGGGTAGTAACTTTTATTGCTACCTTTATAAACTTAATCAATAGCCTAAACTGAACTTTCACATGTTTTACACTAACAAACACTGTAAAGAGGGAGGGAGGAGAGACGGGGGGGGGGGGGTAGTAGTTTCCCCTTGTTAGTGCTGCAGGACCGAGGGCCTGACAGGGACAGCTGTTTAGTCGTTTTAGTGGAACGAAAAGCCGAGGACGCATGTACACATTGGCGTGCACGTAAAAGATCCCTTTGCAGTTGGGAAAAATTTCCCGCCTCATAGCACACTGCATGATGTATTCATTATCCCAGTCGGAGAAGAACCGTAAGACGTTAAAACCCATTTCATTTCTATTCCGTTTACGCCCTGGCAGCTGACATGGATAACATTCATTAGGTTTATTAACTGCAACGTTCCAATGAGGACATTCTCGCCGTTATCAAGCAATGTTATCCATAAAGATGTCTGTTATTTATTTATGGTGTATGTTCGTCTTCATTAGGCCGTTCGGTGCAAAAACAAAAGTAGAGCGTGAAACCTATATCAGGAACAACTGCATATTGAAATTAGTGCAATTGGGATTAGGTTACACTATTGCTATGGGCTCTCACTTAATCAAAATTCCTGAATGCGTCATGAAATTAATGCGGCCTCCATTTAAAACAAAAAAATATTCATTTACTGGTTAACAATATATTGTACTCTGTAAAGAACCTATATAAAGTTTGAAATGAATGCGATTGACGTTAAACGCATGAATTTCTTATTAATATTTACGTTTTGGTTCTCGGACTAAGATCCTTTAAGGAAAACAAAAACCGTCCAATTCTGTAGCCGTAATATTTCCTCTTAAAGGACAATATTGGTGCCAGTCATTATCACATATGTGTTAGAGATGGTTAAACACATTCCAAATATATTTTTAACACAGAGATCATTGCTATGATAGCTGAGTAATACAGGTTTCCCGTATCGGAAGTGACGAACGCCAAAGGAAAACACGAGTCGCTGCTCTATATAACTGACTGAAGCGACGAGTGATAACAGATACATGGGCAAATTTCTACTCACTAATAATTCCTTCCAAGACCAAAAGTTGTTATATGGGACTGTAAGAGGATATCTGACAATTCAATAAAGTATTTGAATGTCATTAGATAAGAGAACACGAGAAAAATAGAAATAGTCCGTACATTTCCTTGTTTATATTCATTCTATACCTTATAAAAACATGGTAATGCACGGACTTTTTCTGTTTTTATTACGTGTTCTCTTATCTAGTGGCAGTCAATTCTTTTTATGAATTGTCAGATATCCTCTCGCAGTCTCACACAACAACTTTTGGTCTTCGAAGGAATTATTAGTGAGCAGAAATTCGGCCGTGTATATGTTATCACTCGTCGCTTCAGTCAGTTATATAGAGCGGTGACTCGTGTTTACCTTTGGCGTTCGTCACTTCCGATACGGGAAACCTGTATTACTCAGCTATCGTAGCAATGATCTCTGTGTTAAAAGTATATTTGGAATGTGTTTAACCAGCTCTAACACATATGTGATAATGACTGGCACCAATATTGTCCTTTAAATTAGCTAACTCCTTATTCTTTGGCACATAGAAACTGACAGAAGTGGATCGCAACGCATATAATAATGTAATATGAATGTATATAAACTGATTTACATTCAATCGTTTCCATTGTTACTCTGATTTCTAATCAGTTATGTTGGGAAAAATTATTTTAGTCAACATCGGTAGTATACTCCTGTCGGATATGTTTACCCTCGTTCGTTGGGTCGTTGCATTACAAATGGTTCTCGGAAGCATTTTAAAATGTTCATTTTCACTTATATATAGGATATCAGAAGCCCATCATTTAACGGTAAGATAGCAACTTCAATGTTGATTTAAATTGACCAATAAGTCGTGTTTACAATGTCAAACCGTGGATGATAGAGCTAGTGACTTGCCTCCTTTAAGATAGGACGCAATAAAGGCATTCGTTTCG